GGGGGCCACTTCTGCGAGTTAGCAGAGAAGCCAGGGCGCTGAGCGTCTCTTAAAGCTGCAAAACCAGCGCGGTGGCCGCATTCTCTTCCAGGACATGCTGAAGCCTCCCCAAGGTGAGTGGGCAAAACTCAGGACGCCATGGCAGCCGCCTGGCCTTGGAGAGGCACCTGAACCAGGCCCTTTGGAGCTGCAGGCCCTGGGTTCTACCCGCGCAGCCCCTCATCCTGTGACTTCCTGCAGAACCACTTCCGGGTGAGGAGGTGAAACTCATCAAGAAAATGGGCCACACCTGACTCACATCTGCAGGCTGCAGGCCCCAGGCTGGGCTGGGCGAGTATCTCTTGGAAAGGCTCACCCTCCAGCACGACTAGGAGCCTTTGGAGCCCAGAGGCCTTTGAGAGGCCCCTCTGCATCCTGTGTCTGGCTTTTACCTGAGCCTCTTCCCGAAACTACTAGCCATTCTTTTAACCACCCTGAAGCCCTCTCCCATGCATTGGACCAAATGAAACAATAAAGCTTTTTGCAGAAAAAATAAATTAGTATTGTTGCAAGCAACAGAAATAGATTCTTAAGCAAGATAAAGCATTTAACTGGAAGGCTGTTGCGGTAGCTCTTGGAATCAAAGGTATTAAATTGGGAAGGGCAGCATGTTAACTCCAGAGAATTCCATTGGTAGAACTTCTCTCCAGAGTATGTCATCAATGTGACTGGGTTTCTGGGTCACTGTCTTCAACTTTCAAATTCTTGAGCTAGAGGTGGGCTTTCCTCACTTAGGTCAGGTGTCTTGACCACAGGGTCAATCAGCTGTGACTGGAATGCTGCGTAATTACAACACAGAAGAGGCCACCTTGCGGTCACAGGGAGAAGGAAGTTACCCTAGTTAATGTCTACTAGAAATTTGAATTTTGACACTATCCTTCTCTGAATCCTCAACTTTGCTAATATGTAAATTTTTATATTGGAAAGTACGTGTTCAGACCTTTGTTTAAGGCAGCTCTCCAGATCAGAAACAAAAAAACTGACTCTGAAGCTAAAAGCCAGACTGGTGCAGTGGTTACTCCTGCCCTGGGGGTGTTAGCTGATCTCAGTAACCAAGAGACTCGAACCTTAATTTGGCAAGAAAAAGACAGAGGATGAAGGACAGGCCCATACAATGTAGGAAGTATAGCTTAGAAGCCCACCCCCACCCTCCACCCCCAGGAAGCTGGAACCCTTTCAAGAGTCCCCCAAAAATATGGACGGGAAATAATTCTCTCTCTGGCAATGGGAGAACAAAGGATGAGGCAACTGTCTCCCTGAGTTCATGATCATGCACCTCCGTGCTGCTCTGGAGTTCAGATGTCTACTACTGATGTATACTTAAGTCCTGTAAACCAAGAAATTCACATCAAGGTTTTCTGGGTTAGTAACCCCTGGAGGAGTTTCAGATACAAAAACTCTTCCCAGAAAGTATATATCCACAATCCAGGCTACCTTGGACTGGCAAGGAGTCCTGATGAACACAAACTTACACTCAAAAGTATAAAACGTATACAGAAGAGGCCACCAGGAAGGAACGAGACATAAAAGTTTAACCACTGAAATGAAACACATCAGAATGCTACTCTGGCAAAAATCTGTAGCTACAGAAAAACCTCAAAGTTGTGCCACTAGTTAGTCAAAATCATCCTGAGATAACCCAAATTCAGTAGGATATTATTTTAAAACAGTTGTGTGATCTTTGGAACATGAACAGATACAAGATCTCATCAGGTTCAGAGCTCTTGAGTTTTGCCTAAAGACATTTCCATACCTGAGGATTTCAACAAAGGGTACTTAGAGAAAAAGACAAAAACATATCTTAATAGTCAAAGATATGCAAAGTCCAATTTTGTTTTTAACCTCAGTGGGATGTGCAGACGTCTCTGAGAAGTTGGGAAAAGTAGGTAATGTGTATCATTTGGACCTAAAGGACCTGGATTATGGGGCTACTTGTTTCAGAATACTTTCCCTCTAACCCTGATGTTTCCTTCCTGGGTAGGAAATAATGTAGTGTCCCACTGGACTTTTCTCTGCCCTCTATATTTATTGCCACAGCCCCCACTTCCCACCCCTGGGGTGGGGGGCAGACGAATAACTTGATAAATTTGGTAAGAAAAATGGGCATGCTCTTCCTCTTGTTAGTCAGTTGTCCATAAAGGACATATATTTTGTCCTACTCCTCCAGGGGCAGGCCCTCCTTTAGGCCTTGTTTTGGGGGCATGTCTGGCTAAATCTTGGCTCAAGTCTTGTCCTCTATCCATTTTCAATCAGTCATAAGAAATGAGTTAACTGTCTTGCTCAATAGGAACCTGTTTTTCAACCTTGGAATGATTTAGAGGACTAGAATAATGATTTGAGACCTTTATGAGTGAGTCAGTGAAAGTGGTAAGGCGAGGGTGCAGAGGGAAAAGTGTCCCAGGCTGGTGAAACAGCATTTACAGGACTGATGCAGCTCAGTGGGACTGCAATTGGACTGTGAAATGAAGAGGTCTCAGGTAGGCCTGGCAGGGTGGACCCAAGAGGCCTGCTGAGGAGTTGCAGAAGTGTGCTAGGATGTGCTATCACTCATTCATCCATAAAACAGTTTGTGCCTGCCGTTTTAGGGTGCTGGGGAACTGTGTCTAAGGTTTCAGAAAGGAAGAGAGAGGGAAAGACAGAAACATCAATGATGAGAGAGAATCATTAATCAGCTGTCTCCTGCATAACCCTCTCCTGGGACAGCCTGCAATATGGGCATGTGCCCTGACCTGGAATTGAACCATGACCCCCTTCCTGCTGTATAGCTTGATGCTTAACCACTCACCCACACCAACTGGGCTGAGAAATACTTTTGGAGAGTTACTTGCTGTTAAAAAAATAAAACAGGGTAAAAGGATTGGAGTGATGAAGGAAGGGGTTGCTACTTTATTATTTATTAATTTTTTTTTTGGGGGGGCAGCTACTTTAGAAATGGTGGTGGAAATATTTGAGCTGAGACCTGAATTAGAACAAGAAACCAAAATCTGCATAAAAAGCATACAGAGCAGAGGTAACAACTCATGCAAAACCCAAGGGTGGAATGAACTTGGTGTGCTGCAGAAGGGCACAGCCAGACGCAAGGGGATGGAGAGAACAAGAGAGAAGGTGGTGTGAGATGATGTGGCAGGGGATAGAGCTGCCATTCTGCAAACTCAAGGGTGCAACATTTCACACCTCATCATTTTCTTTAAGAACTGACTCTGAGCACGATCTCACCCAACGTCTGTCATGAGAGAGGATCTGTCACCTATCTCGCTGGGGTCTCACATAATCCTAGAGTTTGAGGGGCCCTCGACAATGAGGGCTGAGCTGAGCTGCTAATATTCACAGGTTGAAACCTCTAGAAAAAGGCAACTGTAGGCTCAGGACCCAGGCCTCCTCGTGAGCTGCTGGGCAAGTCTTAGAACTTTAGCCTCTTCTAGGGCAGGTTGAGGCTGGAGCAGGCTGCAGGGTCTGGGAGATCCACGCTACTTCCAGTTTTCTCTCTCAGGGCCCCAAAGTCACTCGCACTCTCCCTGCCCCAGCCAAATCCCTTAGAGCAGGCAAGGCTTCCGGAAAACAAAAGGCATGGCTCAGTGGTTGAGCCTCCACCTATGAACCAGGTCACGGTACATGCCTGGGTTGCGGGCTTGATCTCCAGTGGGGGGCATGTGGGAGGTAGCCAATTGATTCTCTCTCATCATTGATGTTTCTTTCTCTCTCTCTGAAATCAATAAAAATATATTTAAAAATACACCAAAAGGCAGGTTGTCTGTGCTGCTCTACTTCCTATTGAGTAACTCAAACCCTCTGAGGTAAAGGAGCAAAAAGGCCTTGCTATTTGCTCAAACTGAAACTGGGCTGGGCACTAACTGCTGCTCCCATATTTCAGACCCATCACTGCTGCAGCGTGGACAGTGGTAAGGAGGGTCGGAAACACAATGTCTGCCCTAAGGACATTTCAGTGGTGACTGTGTCTCACTTCAGTGGCTACCTTCAGTCAAGTGAGGGGATTTCTGTCCCAGTGACGGGCGGGGGCTCTGCACTTTCCCAGGCTGCACTCTGAGTCACAGTGCCAGTGTGGGAGGGCAGGAATCTTTTCTCTTTGCTTCCGCACTGAGAGTTCTCATTTCAAAAGACCTTAGAATTATTGCTGACTCCATCCTTCCAGCACAGAGTTCAAAGTAAAATAAATGAGATTATTTTTTTATTGGTTAGGAAAAATCTAATCGTCTGAGTCATCACTCCTAACACCCACAGCTAAGGGCGTGTCTGGCAGCTTAGAAACTCAAAACATGCCAGGTGTGGCCAGGCCAGTGCACCTGTCTGGCCCTGTTGGGTCCTGCTGACTTTTCAAGCTTGGAGATACTCCCTCTCAACTCTGCATCTCCAGGCTGACCCTCTGCCTCTCGGCTCCACAGACAAACTGCCATGGGGACACTTCAGTGAAAAGACAGCTTTCCTGACCAAACGTACTATCTTTCTTGAAACTAATCCTACACCCCCAAATTCGTCAGATCTGTCATACCGTTAAGTCACTCAGGCTGGTAATCTTGTCGCCTTGAATTTTCTGGTCCCTAGATTCCCTACCCATTAGGCTGTCAAAATGTGGATTCTGTGAAATGGCCAACTCTAATATCACCCCGAGAGGACTACTACAGGAGAGCTGGGAGCTATTTTCCTGTGATCTTTCTGTAACTACTTCCAACCATCAAATAATTGTGAGGCTAGTTGGCATCACAAGACCTTCGGAGCAAGGAGAACAGTTAATTATTTCATTTCAAAGGATGTGCCATGTTGGAATAAAGCATATTTTTGAAAAGCAGAGAGCAAACTGCTACAGATCCTTTGTTCCAACAGAGTCTGTAGGGACATCCAGAGAAGGGGACATGCTTCGGCTGATACCTTAAACAATAACTTCACTAGACAGAAACCTCAAACTTATTTTGATGTTCTATGCTGAAGTTTACAAAATATACACACTCATTTCAATTTTTTATTAAAATACTTTTTTGTTCATAGGGACAACCAAAGGAAAAAGTACGTAATTTTGTATGTTGTAGATCACGTAAAATACAACAAACAGAGGCTCATGGGAATGCAGAATAGATTTAAAAATATTCAAAGAAGCTTTAATAAAAACAAACTTTAAATATGTGGCTTATTTATATGTTTACCTCATTTTTCAGAAGTTTCATTTCTATTCTCCATTTTAATGCTACTGTGATTTATAAATAATTGTTCAAATAGTCTAACATCTCATAAATTTTTGTTTTCTGAAACCTCGGAAATCGTATTCTAAATGAAGGCCTCTCCTTTACAACATTCTATGTAAACAAAGACTTACTTTATTTGAATTACCATTTGATTTGGTGCCACTATAATTTCAGTAATAATTAGATGTTATTAGAAGATGGGGCAGAAAAACCTGCTAGCAAGGACATGTTTTACTATAGGAAAGAACCTTTTATATATGGCTTTTATAATGCCTACTGATTTAAAATTTAGTGTTTTTTAATCTAGTCATAAAAAAGGTAAGAACCTAATTTTTCATTTAAAAGAAAAATATTTTTTACCAGGGCTTCTGTATGGTAGTGAATTGTGCTTAGAATGGTAATAGAAGGTCTACATTTTAGTGGTGCTACTTGCTTCCCAAATGTTATACTTTTAATTTGAAAAAAATATTGTTATTCAAAACCTGAAATAGAATGTTTCAGGTGAACTCTGTGTTTCAACACCTTCATAATCCAGAAAAATTAAGCATTACATTTAGGGATAATTTCTATTGGGAGAAAGAGAATATGAAAAATCAGTTAAAACATAATATGGGTCAAGAAATTATCTTCCCAATGTAAGGGGAAAAAGGTAAAGTACATTTAAAATTTTAATGATGAAGACCTAAAAAAGATGATAAATGCAGTTTTAAAAAGTTTGTTACTGTATTTAAGAAAACTTTAAGCATGTTGTTAATAAACTCAGAAGTATTCCTCTATTCACAGATAAATATAAAATTACTTTGAAAAACTGCAAAGTTGAATGAATCAACAGGCTACAGATTCCTTTAAAATTTCCTTAAGTCCAAGAAAACCTTCACCTTTTTTGGTATTAATGAAGAAAGGGAGCTAAAATGTTTTCAAGGCACTTTAAACAGAGGCATTCTAGGTACAAGTAAGAAAAGGATATCCCCAATGTCTTCCTATTAAATTCATTATCTAAATTTCAACTTTATAAAAAAGCTAAAGTACCTTGAGTATTCATTAGAGTTATCTGAAAGAGCAGAAAAGGTATTAAGGCTTCCAACTTTATGAGGATAGTTCATAGCATTACATATGATCTTGTAACTAACTACTGTTCAGATAATGAATACAAATACAAAGTGTCTAACAGCATCATCTATTTTTATGTAGTAAAATATTTAGACATACAAAGGTATTCCTAAAAAATTATGTGTAATTCAAATGTGTCCTATTTGAGAAATTAATAATTTTGTAAAGTTAAGAGTCTCTGTAATATAAATATGTTCTAGATGCTTGAAGATTGCAAGGGCACAGCTAAGCTTATCTTTATTGAAGCATTATATAAAAAGCTGACAAATGTTCTGTAGTGTATTTGAAGTTAATATTATCTTGAACAAAGATTTTTTTGTTTCAAAATCTTAACCTCCTACTGTATGATATTTAATAAAAACATTTGATCTAGATATAAACCTAAAAAAAGATTACAAAGTAACAAAATAATTAATGTAAATAGTTTTACGTTTGTTTCCTGTTAGAATCCCCAGTATTTTCGACCTTCCCAATTCATACCCGTGAGTTCTCTTCTCTAGCCCCTCCTATCACTCATCCATAGCAGAACGTGGCTGTGTGTGCTGAGGCCGAGTGGGCTCAGGCTTTGCCTGAGCACAGCTTCATCTTTCATCTTTGCCTTCTGTATAAGGGACAAATTGTTTCTTTGCTGCTCTTCTCGGAGTCTGACCTGGCAGTCATTTCCCATTCCTAGTGCTCTTCAAGCTGGTACCTTAAGTGAGAGAGATGCTTGAACTTCCTAACTATTTATTCTAGCAGTATATTTACTGTGGTTTCCTGGGTGTGCCCTGAAATTCTTGATAAATATTCTTCATTACTACCTACATCAGCACTTTGGCAGGGGGATGGAAGAGAAGGAGAAACCTTCCCTAAAGTATGTGTATTATAGAATGGATTCCACTATGTAAGAATTTTAAATTGTAAAACATAGGAAGTATTTACTTTCTAAAACCAACATAAAAAGGTTTGAAATTAAGCTTTTTATGGCGATTTTAATGAATTCTCAGGGTAATGCATTGAGTATCTACACTATTTATAGAACAGATAAACAAGGCACAGTAAAGAATGGCATACAACTATAAAAACTCAGTGTCCTAGCAGTACATGAAGAAATCATAACTTATGCTAACATGCTCTAACACTTCCAACACAAAAGGTTTTTGGCATGTTAGAAGAAAATGACATCAGGCTTTCTGTTAGAAACCTCAGCTCTTTCAAGTATTCTCTGTGCAATTGCTTCTCATGTGACCAAAGCTGACATGTATTTTTACGTTTGTTTCCCATTAGAATCCCCAGTATTCTAATGGGAAACAAACAAGAGAAAGGGCTTATTGCTGGTGGACAGTAAAATCAATATGAGCAGTTATCACAATTTAAAACATTGCTGAATTTGACATACATTAAAAGCAACTCAGTCCAAATTCTTCACATCTTCTTAATCTGCTGGCATTCTGATGCAACCAGCAGACATCAGTGAATAGCTTTTCGTACCTTTCTTTTTGATTCAATTGCTTTGGTTTCCATTTCTTTGTTTTCTTTAAAACATGCAGTTCATACATTTGACAGTTTTACTACCATAGTCAATACATTCTGGACCAATACACTCGCAGCAGGCGTTATGGAACCAGCGATATTTGGATGCCCCCATGGACTCACAGGATATTTTACATTGATGTATGGACATGCAGTCATCAAAATAAACCACTGTACACATGTGTTCTGAAAAATAAAAAATTAAGATTTCAGAGCAAGAAATAATAAAATGCTTTAGTACTTAGCTGGATGTTATTAACAGTTATTTTATCTTAGTTCTCTTACTGCTAGTCTGCACAGAACAACAGATGAAGTATAGGAAAAAAGATCTCATTTGTTAACTACATGGAGAAGGAAGCCAGAGTCTCCCACCCCAGCTGAAGAACGCAAAGGGCTTACTTAGTCACTTTGTTAGGTTTCAGATTTTGATCTGAAAGTTAGATTACTGTGCTTAACAACATGTGCCTTTTAAACTGGACATTTCTGATAAAATTTCCTATGAGAGAATTTTACAACTAAAAGAGGTTTGAAGAATACTATTCTAAAGTTATACAGAGAATTTATAATAAAATAAAACAAACAAGTAATTCAAATGATGATGAATGACTAGCAATGCTTGGTACAATTCAGCATTAGCTATTAAACTCTTAAGTCATATTAAGCAGACTGGGCATTGGCAGTGTAGTCGTAACTTTCTGATGTTAGTAAAAACTAAACTGACTTGAAATTAAATCATTCCAAGGTTTGATACACTTGTCTTAAGATATTAATGAAATACTTCAAAACACTGATATGTAGTGTCCAGATTCTCAGATGTTTGTTGTGCAAGTTTTGTTTAGTTGTGTGTATTTTCCCCCAGGAAATGTCTGGAACATTGCAGTCCTCAAACATGTGGTTGTCTTTGTTGTACTGGCATAATCAGGGACTTGTACAACCAGCAATAGCATTTGAGTAAGTTCTATCAGTAAGCAATATTTTCAGTTATAAGGTTTCAAAAATGTAAAAATGGATTTAAACTTGCTGAATGTAAGGACTGAACCTCATGTCACTGTAGCTTTAGTAATTGCTTACTGTATTATTTTAGATGCTAGCACTGTATGTGTTGTGCATATTCTGATTTTATTAAAATAAAAAGTTGAACTGCAGATTCAAAAAAAGGAGAAAATACTTTTCTTACTATTAACAATTTCTAGTCCTGCTTTCCAAGCAACCACTTTTGATTGTTTCAATTTAAGTTCTACTGGTGGTTAACCCCATATGACTACCTAGGTAGGAGGATTTATTTATCTGAAATAAATAAATAAATAAAGGACAAAACAAACCATTAATAGAAAGTATATGACTAAAGGCTAAGTTATTTTAAAGAGCCATTTATAGAACTGATAAATCACCAGGGGTCTGAATAATAAGGGAAGGCTTAATGGCCAAAAACTGGACTTGTATTAGGAAGAATTAAAAGCAAAGCTACCATGTAACAAAATAAGGAAAGTCACAAGGAGATGAGTGTAGTGTGCACAGGGATGGAGTGGAGGCAAGTCCGACTGCAGTGGATAGTTCGCATCAGAAGATAGTAGAACCACCACTGGCTCCAGAAGATGGGATCTGGTTAAAGAGGGAAACTGAGGAGACTGGCAGAGCACTATGCCAGGCAAACTACAGGGGTCACCAGTGAGCCGGTCGGGTGGGGGAGCATTTAAATCTCCAAGTGATTGGTGCCTACCAAACTCACTTCGTTATTTATTCTACTAGTATTTATTGAATATCTACTAGGAAATAGCTATTAGGGAGTCAAAGAGTAATCAGAGAATTCAAGAAACTAAGTAGAAAATGTTAGACCTATGAGTTAACAGATGACAAATCAAACTGTAAATGTGGGAGGAGTAGGTAGTGGCTCACTCTACCTGGGGGGACGGGCATCTAGGGAAGGTGTCACAGAGGAGAAACTTTAGCTCTGTCTTGAAGGATAATAACCTTCCTGATTATTATTTCATGAATTTAAATAACCTTTGAGAAAATTTTATGAATTATTATTTAATATCTATTATGTTGATTATTTACATTATTATCATGGGGAAAATGGTAGCAAGACACATTCCATTCATTTATGATATCTTCCATAAGAATTTGTCTTATGGAGTACTTCAACTTAAAAGGAAATAAGAATTCTTACTTTGTGTATGATTAACAACTGCTGTTTTGCCTTTACTATCAATGGCCAAAGTTCATACTATTTTAGACAGGTAGGATTGAAATGGAAGGCGCGCACACACACACACACACACAAAGAGCACAAATTATACTGTTTATGCATAATTCACCTCAGTTTGAGAAATGACTGCATTTCTCATAATTGCCTTATTCTTCCACAATAAAACTGTAAAACTTTTTATTTGAAAATATCATAGACTTTAAAAGTTATGTGCCTTTTTCATTCCAAAATAAATGTATGACCTATCCTAACAAATGTTCTTTAATATGTTTCTCAAAGTTGTATATGTCATTCTTTCCTTTAGTTTCCCTTCTGACCAATATTACTCACGGAGAACTGGATGCGGTTAATTTATACCTGGAAATTAGATGTCTGTAATATCATCTTGCTTACAAGGAAATTTAGCTGATAGATAACCTGGCATCATTTGTGGTACCAAGGCTATCATGAAAATCTGATTTCTAAGGACAGTTTGAATGTTATCTGATGGTGAGCAATACTGTAGTAAGCATCTCTGTTACTATCTTATGAAAAGAACAATTAAAATCTAACACAAATATCAAAATTAGGACCATGTATCCTATCACCTACTATAGCCTCTATCACTGCCTGTATGAAGGACTTGTGACAATATGCTTGACATGCCTCCTTATCTACTCAGGGATTTGTGGTTATTAAAATCCAGAGTTTACTTAAGAGTATACAAACTCAAAACCAAAAAGCTACTTTAAAAAGATAACCTTAATATAGGCTTCACAGACCACACAGAAAGTGAGGGGGCAGGATAGGAAAAGTCAACTGGTGGCAATAATTACCTTTGTCACTGGAATAAGGTGCGTGAACATTATTGCTGGGAACAGACACATTTTGGTGGTGTGGCTGGTTTACAGTCTCTAAAAATGAAACCAGATTCTCATGATGTGAAAGTTCTTCAGCAACAGGGAAGGAAACGATGTTCCAGTTCAGCTGAGTGTCTCCTTCGGTGAGTGCCCGGAAGAGAGAAGGGATTGGCTCATGAAGCTCCTCCACTGTGCTCTTTGAAGTGGGAGGCGTGTCGCTATAATTTCGAGGATTACACATACCTGGGGGTGTGAGGGGCAAAGAGAGTAAGTTTACTCTTTTCACTAATTGTAATGTCTTGAATTCTTGTTAGTTATTGCCCTGCAATCAAAGCTCCAACATATTAAAATTATGTGACGTCTAGCATTATACATATTTTTCTAGCTTTTGTTGCTGTTGAGAGGGACTTGAAGAGATGACACATCAGGATCATCACTGAGTGCCCATACTTGTTTTCTAAGTACCCATCCTCCACTAAGAGGAACCAGAAGTCCTTGGAGAAAAGAATGATTCTAGGGATGGATCCTGGAAAGTACAAAAGGACCCTTTGCGTGCCAGAAAGTAAAGAAGGGTGGGACATGTTAAAAGCACAGGAGGCAACCAGAAGGGGCTCCCCCACTGGCCAAATTGATAATTTACCACTAAAATAAGTAATGACAGAAATGGATTACCACTTTGTGAATAAAATAGAAATTGATGAGTCCTTATATTATAAATAAATGAATGAGGACATGGAGGAGAATGGAAAGCTCTTCCTTTTACTTGAGTGCCAACTGATAAATGTGGAAGGAATGAAGGAAATAAAACAGTGGTTCTCAACCTTCCTAATGCCGCGACCCTTTAATACAGTTCCTCATGTTGTGGTGACCCCCAATTTCATTGTTACAAATTGAACATAATTAAAGCATAGTGATTAATCACAAAAACAATATGTAATTATATATGTGTTTTCCGATGGTCTTAGGCGACCCCTGTGAAAGGGTCGCACTCCACAGGTTGAGAATCGCTGAAATAGAAAATCACCATTTGGCAACCATCATAGAAGTGTATGATTCATGGAAGTTGTCAATGGATGGTAAGACCAGTGGGTGGAGGTTTGATGAGGAACATATTGATGTACTCTTAGAAAACTCTCTACACAACACTAATTGATGACAAAGGGGTTAATTAATGTGGAAAAATCTGGCAGACACCAGTGTAACCAGGAGATGAAGGTTAGCATCGCCAGTTATGGGACAGTTTGGTGTTGTGTGTCCCTTAATGTCCTGCATATCTTCATTTCGGTGATAGTGTTGCCAAGAATGTGTGACTTAAGTATGACCATCAGTCAACATTAGGTGGATCAAAACTGAGGATCATCCTACGTAACATAAAGTCTGTAGTCATTAAACCATCAAGGGAAAGACTAAGAGAATGCTTCAGTTGAATGAGTCTGAAGAGATAGACAACTAAATAGATAAGATCCTGGACCAGAAAGGAACAAGAGATACTGTTGAAATGGTTGGCAAAATATATATGGGGTTTGTGATTGGGAGGATTATATGCTAGTTATGTAGGAGAATGTCCTTGTTGTTGGAAAATACAGACTGGATTATTGAGTAATGATGGGACATCATTGGTCAAGCCTGCTTTCCAAACGTTCAAAAGAGATGAATGGTCATGGGGGTGTGTGCCCATAAATGTGTGTGTGAAATGTGTGTGTGTGTGTGCGCGCGCGCATGCAGGGAAAGGGAGAGAGTCAGGGTACTAAGTAATGGAGCAAATTCATTAATGTTAATAACTGGGGAATCAGGGTGAGGGGTGAGTCTTTTTACCCTTCTGGCAAATTTTCTCTACATTTGAAATTATCTCAAAATGACGTCTTTTAAAAAGTATTTTTAAAAAGAGAAAATGGCAGGAAAAAATAAGAAATGGTGACCATAGAAACTTCTTAAAGGAATCTTGCTATAGAAGAGAGAGCTGTTTAACCAAACCTGGCTTTCGAGCTGTCCCAGCTGACACTATGTGAAGTAGAAAAGAGCTACCCCAAAGAACCATGGCCAAAATGCAGGTTCGAGAGCTAATTAAGTTATTATTATTGTAAACCACTATGTTTTGGGGTAGGTTGTTTATAGTAGCAATAACACTGAACAGAGTTCTCTGGACTTCCTTTTGTGAATATTGTATTTTTTAAAAAAGATTTTTAATTAAGGGGAGAGATAGAGAAACTTCGAACTGAGTGCAAAACATCTATCGGCTGCCTCCTGCACCCCCCACCACTGATCAAGCCTGCAACCCGGCATGTACCCTGACCAGGAATTGTACTGGGAACCAATGCCCAACCTAGACACATAGTCCACGCAGTAGTATAATTTTAAAGACTAAATTATGTTTCATTCTTGCTTAGCATCTATTAGGTCAAAGTGGAGTTTTTCTTCTTTCCTAGATTAAAAGTTTGAAAAGTTAGAGGAAATTTATAAATTCCTATATTTTATAAACTTAGAAGGAAAAACCATCTCATGTGTTTTCCACATTTTAGTTGAAGGAATATGCCAGAACCGAGGATAACAAGGTTGTGTGCGTGCTCTTTGTAAAATCTTTCAATATGCCTGAACGTTTATGATTTAGGTTGTGTGACAGAGTCATGCATTAAATGATCAAATATGATTCCTATGTTCATAAAGGAGGAAATATGCCCAGTTAAATTAAATGATTGTCCAATGTTATATAATCTAGGACTAGAGCCAAGATTATGATGCAGCCTGATTTCGTGTCCACTTCTCTGATAATAAGTTGAATAATACTTAGAATATTTGTTTATATAAATGTACATGGTATATTCTTTCAGATTCTATAATTAATGAAAATTAGTAATCAGAGATAAAAAGGCAAACAACTTAGTTCAACAGAAGAATTAACTCAACATCTGCTGAGACTTTAAAGAAACTCCAGTGGTCATTACAGATTTCATTGCATTAAAAAAAAACTGTTTTGGAGTTTTGTGCATTTAATAAACTTAGGTAAAAAATGATTCTAATTTAACTCTCAATACACTGCATTAAAACCTATAAGCATGAAGTAAATGTGTGCCAGGTAACAGTTTCTGTGGCACCCTCCATTGCCTGCCTGAAGCACTCTTCAAGTTCTGTATTTTTTTGTGGGGGCTATCCTACTGGAGGGAGGAGTCACCTTTTAAAATTCCTGTAAATTCTTTAGTTGTCCATATTCATTATGTACAATGGGTCAATTTCTGTGGAGAGTTACTAACCACCCACAGTTTAAATCAGTTAATGAAACATCTGACCATTATCCTGATGTTTATCACTGTTACAGAGCTTTTCTTTAGTTGACTAGAGAGTTTATTTTTGGAGCTCTCCTTTCTTTTCATGATCATTTTCTTGAGATAGTTTGTTACTTAGTGGCATTTTCACACAACAACAAAATTTAAATACCAATTACACTAAAAATTTTAAAGAAAGTGGCTCTGCATATGACAGTCAGGGAGGCCAAATAATCAGGAAACAGATGGCAACAATTGAAAAGGCAAGCATTTCAAATCCTTTCAGTACACAGAATTCTAATACTATTTCTTTCTCTGTCTTTTAACTTTATTTTTATTGTTTACATTATTACAGATGTCCCCATTTTCCACCAAAACAAAACAAACAAAACAAAAACAAAAAAAAACCTGTGGTAGAGATCTAGGTTCCAAAATCCATGGGATTTGAGGAATACATTGGATGGCAGGGATGAAAATGAGCTGTAGTGGTTCCTCTTGCCTTAAGAGAAAGTCAGAAAAGAGAAACTAATTTTCTTGTACAAGGCAGTTGGAGGACAAAGCTTGGTAGACAACATATGAGCTGCAAGTCCACAGCTAAACAGGAAGGGAAGGCTATACTCTAATGTGGGTCCTTTCAGAGGTCTGTGCACCACCCATGAAAAGTATGGGGACTGTTTCAACTTAGAAGGGAGGAGTGGCCACAGGCTTGCAAAGGACATCAAAAAAGCCTAAATTGGAAGAGAAATGCCTACAAGGGAAAGAGTATTGCTGTACAAAAGAAACTGAAATATCTACATTTTATCCTAGAAAATAGAAAGATTAACTGAATTTAAAATGAAAGATTAAGTTACATTATAAACTCACTCAAAATTTAAAACTGGTATTCAATCCTTAAAGGACAATAATTTTTTTTAAAGGTAACTAGCTCAGAAAAACACAAGTTGCTTCTAAAATTGTAGAGATATGAGCATGTGTAATTATTCTTACTCAGTAGAAGAATTACAGACCTCCTTTCCTAGAAGTTGAATGGCACTGTTACCACTGTGCGATGGTTAAAATACACACACACAACACACTCACACACACACACACACATACACGTTATTTTAGGCAATGCTATAAGTGCAATGCACTTGTGTGTTTGGCATCCATGTTTAAATTAAATGCTTACATATGCATATTAGGGGTTAATATGCTTATTTCCCTTTTTGCTTTCATTGTACATATTAAATTAACTTACATTTATTGATGTAAAATAATTCAAAGCTTCTTTTAGTTGACCTGACATAATAAAAAATAATTATAGCCATCAAATGCACAGAATAAACTATTCATCTTGGGAGAATAATACATTAAGAATTCATTTATTAACAGTCATAAAACACTTCTATGTGCTGGAGTACCTTTTATGTGCTAGATACTATACTAGCTGTTAGAAATACCAAGATTAATCTAAGACCACAGAGGAAAAGATATTTCTGTCCTGGTTCTCTCAGAATTCACTACGAAACAGTGAGGAAGAACAAACTGAAACACCAACTCCACCGTGGAAGACTATAAGAGCGAAATGTAACGGATTCAGCAGTCTCCCTCCCAAGCAAATGCAGCCACAGACTTCTGGGAAGACTCAGGAGCTGGAGACACCAGGTATTATTGCAGAGGCAAGCTTATTTGAGAATAGTTATGCTTCCACGACCCTGTCTCCCTTCTCCACAACTACAGGAGATGAGAGGGCTATTCTTTACAAAAATTAAACCAAAGAAGCCCTGAACTAGAGAGTGGAGATGAGGATGAAAAGAAACAGAAGAGTAAATGACAGTATGCTGACATGGCTCCTCAGAAACCCAGAACATTTGCAGCCAGCCAAATCACTCCAGTTCCACCCCAGGCAAGAAACTCACCGGTCCTTCTCTGAAAAAGCTGGACAACCCTGAAGGGAAAGATCTATAGACAGTGAGATGGAGAGGGCTCCTCCGTGAACAAGCCAGCGCATCCTCCATTCACCTGAGAATGAGGCAAACTAGACTCCACGCCCTAAGTGACTAAGCCTGTGCTCACTTCGGCAGCACATACACTAAAATTGGAATGATACAGAGAAGATTAGCATGGCCCCTGTGCAAGGATGACACCCAAATTCGGGAAGCAAATTTTTTTTAAAAAGGGACTAAGTTTTACATATGAATAGATGGCCCAGGATTACCAGACATTTGAGGAAATGGAAATAGGGCAAAGAGTAGAAGGAAAAACTTTAACAACAAAACTCTGTAATTATTAGTCCCAGAAAGATCTATAACACAAGAACAGTATGTTCCCCAAAAGGGACATTCACAGAAGGGCTCTTGGAAATTAAAAATAAAAGTCAAAATTTTAAACATTAGTACAAAGCCTGAAAGAAAAGGCAATCTCTCAGTACGTATATTCCAATACAAAAAAACAAATACTAGGATTATTCATTTAATAAATCAGTGTTTACACCATTATGTATCAAACTAGTATGTAATACTATTTTACTCAATGGGTTGTTAAATTACTGATTTAACTAGAAGTAGTGATAAAACTATATTGGAAAGATAAGCGATAAAGAGAGTTAAATCATCATCTACCATAATAAGAAGTCAATAGTTTCTAACATCAAAGAATCACGAAAACAACATAAGGATATTTAGAATTATAGAACAAATACAATACCGAAAAGATGAAAGTGGTTGTCTCTGGCACAGGATCAAAGGATTGGAAAAAGAAGCATGACACAGGCTTACTTTGGCATTGTATGCATATATCTAAAATATGTACGTATATCCCACTTTCATAAAAATAGACATTAATTTTAAAAGATTAATTTGGTGTCAATATGACACCATCCCTGTTATTAAAAAGTTTATACTCTATTAGAAAGGACATGCAAAATAACAAGTACAGTAGCACGTACAACATCATGTAACAGAAGCAATCTGAAGAGCACAGAGGCTCCAACTCTGTCAAATGAGGAAGGTTCCTGAGACGAGACACCTGAACTTCAGTTTTAAGGACAGAAAAGAATTAACTGACCAGAGAGAGGATGATGAGTATTTCTCTAGCAACAGCCTATGTTAAGTTTTCTTTCTAAAACACAAATGGTGCCCGGCCAGTGTGGTTCAGTAGTTGAGCATTGATCCATGAACAAGAGGTCCCTGGTTTGATTCCTTGTCAGGGCACATGCCCGGGTTGTGAGCGCGATCCCCAGTATGGGCATACAGGAGGCAGCCGATCGATGTTTCTATCTCTCCATCCCTTCCTCACTTTCTAAAACAAACAAACAAACAAACAAACCTACAAATGATAGCATTCCATAAACACACTTTTGCAACTTGCTATTTTTTTTACTTAATACACTATGTAGACTGTTCCTCAGAAAACCTTAAAAACAGATTTTAGTTTCTGAAGGATCTTTTAGTGAAATCTTATATAAAGGAAGATAATCTATATTTTTTAACATGTTAAGTACTTATTTTTTATTTACAACTATAAGACATGCTTCTTATAAAAAATTCAACAGTGTAAAAAAATTAAAAAGTAAAAAAAAATCCCATTTTTCCTCCATTCCTAGTTCCTAAGAATAAGCTTTTAATTTCCTCTAAGACCATTTTCTATAAAAATACAGATAAACAGGGTAAGGCAAAAGTAGGTTTACAGTTGTTCATATGGAAAATAATATAATAAAATACAAAAATAAACTCTTATGTACTCACAACTGTAAACCTACTTTTGCCCCACCCTATATGTAAATACCATCTAATAAAGCAAATATAAAATAATGTTCTATATACGTATTATGTTTTTTAAAAAACTGTTTTTATTGATTTGAGAGAGAGAGGAAGGGAGAGGTAGAGAGAAACATCAATGTGAGAGAGAAACATCGAATGGCTGCCTCCTGCAAGCCCCTCAGTGGGGATTGAGCCTGCAACCTGGGCATGTGCCCTGACCTTTTGGTGCATACGACGCTGCTCAACCAACTGAACCACACTAGCAAGGGCTACCTATTATATCTTATTTACACCCTAGTCTATACATTTATGTTCGTTAAAATTGCTTGCAGTCAGGTCTCTCAGATAAGAAATATTAAGAAACTTTACTTCATGTCAACTTACCAACACAATCACAGCACTCATCCCAGAGGGTCCCAAGACACAGCATACATTCCTTGCAGCAGGAACAATTTCCTTCCCCAGGTCGGCACTGGCAGAGTTCCTACAAATAGATGTTCAAATTTAAAATTCCAAATAACTATATTTAAAATTGTTGATTATTTGCAGTAAAAAACATACAATATTTGCATTTATAGTAATTTACTCTTCATATAATTTTTAAAAAATACCTTAAAAAGAAAGAAGAAAGAAGAAGAGGGAGAGAGAGGTAGAAACATCAATGATGAGAGAATCATAATGCCTGGTCAGTGTAGCACAGTGGCTGCATCAGTATGTATTCCCACCAGCAGTGTACTAGGGTTCTCTTATCTCCACATCCTCACCAGCACTTGTCATTTGTTGATTTATTGATGGTAGCCATTCTGGCAGGTGTGAAGTGATACCTCATTGTACAGTCAAACCTCAGTTCATGGAAAAAAATGTTTCTGTTTTCAAACAAAACTTCAGTTCTCCACCCGACAAAATCCAGCACCCATTTTTGATAAAAACCCTCAGCAAAGTGGGAATAGAGGGAACATACCTCAATATAATAAAGGTCATATATGAAAAACCTACAGCCAACATCATACTCAGTGGGCAAAAACTAAAAGCATTTCTCTTAAGAACAGTTACAAGACAGGGATGCCTGTTTTCACCACTCTTATTCTACATAGTGCTGGAAGTTCTAGCCACAGCAAGCAGACAAAAAGAAAAAATAAAAGGCATTCAAATTGGAAAGCGGGAAGTAAAACTGTTATTCACAGATGACATGATATTGTATATAGAAAACCCTAAAGACTCCACCAAAAAACTACTAGATTTAATAAATAATTTAGCAAAGTAGCAGGATACAAATTTAACATCCTGAAATCAATGGCATTTTTATCCTATATAATAAAAGGCTAATATGCAAATTGACTGAACTGCGGAACAACTGGTCACTATGATGCCCACTGACCACCAGGGGGCAGATGCTCAATGCAGGAGCTGCCCTCTGGTGGTCAGTGTGCTCCCACACAGGGAGCGCAGCTCAGCCAGAAGCCCTGAGCCGGGCTCATGGCTGGCAAGCGCAGTGGCAGTGGCGGGAGCCTCTCCCGCCTCCACAGCAGTGCTAAGGATGTCTGACTGCGAAAGGGCACAGGCTGGGCTGAGGGACCCCCCCTCCCCCTGAAGTGCATGAATTTCATGCACCGGGCCTCAAGTATACCAATAATGAACTCTCAGAGAAACTAAAAAACCAACACTCTCCATTTACCACTGCAACAACAACAACAAAATAAGATACCGTGGAATAAACTTAACCAAGGAGGTAAAAGACCTGTACTCAGGAAACTACAGAACATTGAAAAAAGAAACACAAGAAGATAAAAACAGGTAGAAGTATATACCATGTTCATGGGTTGGAAAAATTAACATCATTCAAATGTCCATATTACCCACAGCAATCTATAGATTCCAACACATCCCTTTTAAAATACCATGACCATATTTCACAGATCTAGAATATACCAAAAATTTATATAGAACCAAAAGAGACCCTAAATAGCCACAGCAATCTTGAGAAAGAATAACAAAATTAGAGGAATCACAATACCAGATATCAAATTATATTACAAATCTATTGCATCAAAACAGCCTGGCACTGGCACAAGAACCAGCATATAGATCAATGGAACATAACAGAGACCCCAGAAATGATTATTGTTTTAAACCACTAAACTCTGAGGTGGTGAAAGCTAATTAATACAGCTTGCTTCATAATCGAAGATTCCAGGTAATTCCTTTAGCCCTTAACACCAGACACTCCTAAACAAACCCAACTTAAAGGGAAATTCCGTAGCCACCATTGCCCACTTGGCTTTCCCTGGGTCATGAGAACTTAAACACAACACATAATATTTATCCCTATTAAATTCATCTTATTACATTTATATACTACTGGAGTCACTTCATCATTCTAAAATTCCATGTTTTTGTCACTGATATTTAATCATACTGATAATAAACACTGACATGTAATTCCTAATTTTTCTTCTCCAAAAGTCCCCTAGCTGTTACACAGCACTTTCAAGAATCAACACTTGTACTATTCTCTAACCATTTAATTAGTTTGATGTCAATGTATATCTGAGACACAATAAGTACAAATTATAATATTTTAATACTGTGGAATTCTGTAGGGTTGGGCTGTTTTTCATGTATAGGTAACTTTGCTAGGTCTGTGAGAAAGAGAAGGACTAAATGGGCAAAGATTTTGTGAGAATTTCAGATGCCTCATCACAAAACTGGTGATGCTTGATTCAGAGAAGCTCAAACTTACTTGGAAATCTAGAAAAACAGTCACCAAAAGTAATCTTTGTGACTTGTTTCTCCATGAAAACCTGTCAGTCCTGTCTTTGGAATGAGAGAACATTTTCTGAGTATACATTTTTTTTAAAAAATACCATCAGAGTTAAGGATATGGATACTTTTGGTTTTTAGTATTATAAAGATTGCCACCTAGTCACAAGAAATAAAGGTTCTTTTTAAATTTTAATTTACATTCTACATAGAAAATATCCCTTTACTATTTTAGTTGCTTATATTTACATTATCTATTTAGCTCAGGAGAAATGATTTAGAAAAGTAACAAATTTATTCAAAGAATATGTTTCTCCTTTTTCTCTATCAATTTCCAAATGGTAGCCTGCTAAATGAATTAATATATGTTATGCTAAATAATTTTTTTTTTAATATATTTTATCGATTTTTTTATAGAGAGGAAGGGAGAGAGATAGAGAGTTAGAAACATCAATGAGAGAGAAACATCGATCAGCTGCCTCCTGCACATCCCCCACCGGGGATGTGCCCGCAACCCAGGTACATGCCCTTGACCGGAATCGAACCCGGGACCCTTCAGTCCGCAGGTTGACGCTCCATCCACTGAGCCAAACCGGCCTCGGCTAAATAATTTTTAAATAAATGTCAATTTAATAGCTTCCATTAGAAAAACTGAGTTTGTAAAGCATTCATTATGCCTTTTATTTTAAAGTCAGGTATTTGTGAGGTGTTTTAAATTGGAACGAAAGGGTGAGTGATACCCTAAGATTACCTCTAACTAATGGAAGGTTAAAACTATGACTAAAGGTTGCTTGAGCCCTGGCTGGTGTGGCTCAGTTGGTCGGGCGTTGTCCCATGCACTGAAAGGTTGATTCCTGGTCAGGGTACATGCCCGTGTTGTCGGTTCCATTTCAAGTAGGGGGCATGCAGGAGGCAGACGATTGATGTTTTACTATCAGTGGATGTTTCTCTCTCTCCCTCTCCTTTCCTGTCTCTCTCTCAAAATCAATTAAAAAATAAAAATAAATTAAAGATGCTTGAACTTGCCCGGATTACCCAGCCCTCAAGATTCAAATCTATTTCACACCCTCTTACTAGATGCCTGTACTTTTACATGTCAGTGTGATAGAATAATGTATAGTAGTGATATACTTAATGATTATAATTTACTGACAGAACACAAAGTGAGAGGCTATAGAAAGCTGAGACATGGGGGAAATGACTTAAATATAAACTTTATTACCATACTATTAAAATGACTGTTAAAACTAGTTGAATGCCAAGTAACAACATGTTAGCTAATATTTTTCTGTCTTTCCATCTTACTATAGAAAAGACTGAAAAAACCTTTGTTTTAAGAAAACAAATTTAATCACATAAACTAAGAAATTTTACAAGTAAATAAGCCTCAGAACATATTTTTAAAATCTCTATTCTTCATAACGAATGCAGTATCCTTTTCAGGAGATTGGGAAAGAAGAAAAACGAGATCCTCACACCAACCTTTTAGACAGCATTTGTAGCTTTTCAGTTTTCGAAAATACATTTAACTTCTCACTTTTCAGGAGAAAATTCCAGGCAAACTTAACATATGACATTTAGGATCTCAAAAACCTAACTTTAAATCAAGAGAGCAAAAATATATGGTAATCATTTGCTTTATGACTATTAAGTCAAGAAAAAATGGAAACAATTAATTTCCATGTGTAAATAATTATAATAGTCACATGTAGTACACCAAGTAATTCATCTTTCCTATTCAATTTACATGTCTTTTAAAATCACACTATTGAATAGTATTTGGTCATAAACATATTTGAAAAAGTATACTTTAATTTTTTGACAGCAAGCAAACTGTGGTTAGGATGAATGTTTCAAAATATAAAACACATTTCTAAAGTGCTTTGAACCTAAGTATTGGAAATACAAAAGAAAACAAAACAACTCAAAATGTAATTCTCTGTGATGAATCAAGGATCACAGAAAAAATTACTCCATTTAAAAATGTTCAGCAGAATCTTTCCAAGACACTTAAAAAGAAATCTTTTCCGCTAGCTGTTTTAGTTGTGAGGATATAAATGAATCCACCATAACCAGAAAGAGGCTAGAGTCAAGATAAAGGTAATGCCTTAACATTTTTTAGATATTTATTTGATTTATAAATATTTTAAAAAATATTTACTAGAATACAAGGAAAAACACCCAAATTCCTCCCATTTTGGTAAATTCCTATGCATTCTAAGAAAATAATGATTGTATACTGTCCTATGCTAAAAAAAAAAATAAGCAATTCCCTATTATAAAAATCTGTCAACATAATTTAGTGGCTGCATAATAGGACTTAAGTTCCTGACCCACACCTTGCCCATGTTCTCACCCTTTATCATTACCTTCAAAGACTTCATTATCTTCCATTTTACTATTATTTCAAGGTCTCCCATTTACTAAATTAAAAAAAAAGGTTGTGTTGAGATGTTGAATTTTCTATTTGGAAAATTTGACTATTTATATGTTTTACTAACCTCACTATAACTAAACTTGAGTACTGCTCAGTTGAATGGAACATGTGATCACAAAGTTCACAGGAGTCCAAAAAAGACTGACTCAATGCTTCCATTTATTTACTGAACCACCTCCCCAAGTTCCTAACAGGGTTTTATTTTATCACTAACAGGCAATGTGCTAAGTGTTTTAAATGCAGTATCTTGAATCTCAAAGAGTCCTAATAAGATAGTTATTTGATTT